GGGCAAGGGGACACTTAGGGCAAGGGCCAGGGGAGGAGTTTTTGTTCACAGCCCTTCTCCTCTCTGCCAAACTCGGTTTTCGGCCTGAGGCCACAAGTCCTAGCAGCGAAGCCTCCCATGTCTATTCACCTAGACAGGGGACACCTCATCCTCACCCCTACTCCCAGCATAGGTGCTTTCCAAATCAGTACCTTCACTGAGGACATGGCCACCACTCCCAAGATGGCCCTGGCCAGGGGCAGACCCCGTGGTCCTCTCCGGGCCCACCCCTCCCCAAAGCATCCAAGCCCTTGGGTCCCAAGTTCACTCCCGTTCTGCTCCCTGGAGGACCCATGTCTTCAGAGTCTCCCTCCTTTTTCAGGACCCCATGGAGCTACACCAGTGCCAGCGAAAAGCACCTCCCTGTGTCTTCATTCTTGGAAACCTCAGCCCTCACCCAGCTCGGACCCCTGCACGGGAACTCACCGGACGCTGTGGAGGACGGGGTGAGGACGCTGAGTCCTGGGAGCAGGGCCTTTCCATTGTCACCAGGCTTACTCACTCCCAGGTAGAGCCTGCTTCAAAGCATACAGGCGCTGGAAAGGCATGGGCAGCTGTGACCCTGCTGCATGCCCAGCCCTTCACACATCATCTCCTCTCCCCCTACCCACTGCTGGAGCATGGAGGTGGCAGAATGAGAGATGTGGAGGTGGCCATGGGTGCTCCCAGACCATAGGCTCCCACCCAGGCAGTGCAGCTCAGAGGAGGACCACGTGGTCAGCAGGTGGCGCTGCAGCCATCTCATCCCACTCCACAAAGGCCTTGTATTTTTCATGTGCTTGGCCTTCTTCTCATCCCCCTTGGCCACAGCCAAACACCCTCTGCCACTCTCATTTGTGTGGTCTATGGGAGACCCAGTGTCGGGCTGCAAGGGGCTGCAAAGGAGACCAACCAGCTCGCACAAACTGTGGTCATGGACAGCACAATGGTGGCTCTGTTGGTGTAGGGGCAGAGAAAGAGGGAGCCCAACACGGGAAGGAATGCAGCTAACAATAGGAACAAAGCCTCAACCTAGCCCTAGGAAACCTCAACGTCCTTCTCAGCCTCCAAGAGTTCTAGGGCAAGAAAGAACCCACAGGGACTTCCTACTGACCCCACCAAAACATAGGAGCAAAACGTGTATTGAGTGAGGGCTGCTCTGGAGGATCCCAGCCCCACGACCACGTGGCAAGGACCCCAGGGGGACAGGCGGGCCTCACCTTCAGTCCCTGCTCCTCCTCCTCATTGTTCGTGTTGCTCAGCGTCTCTGTGTCACTCTCCAAGGCCTCGCTCCTGGGCCCCTTGTCCAAGGGCAGCTCGCTGCTCACAAAGTGGGCGGCCAGGCCCAGCTCCTGCTCCAAGGCCATTCTTGCCAAGCATGAGGAGTTGATCTGGTGCAGAGACCAAGGAGGCAGGCACAGTGTTAGGGAGTGCCCTGTGCAGAGCAGGTGCCCAGGGGGCTGGGGACCCCTGACCTCCTCCTTGTGATGGCAGGACCGGTGCCCGTGGGAAGACAACCATGCTTCTGTGAGCCTTCACAGCAATGCCAACTTGCCGGCAAGCCTCTGGGGCGCCTGCTGCATTTCCGGCTTGGCTGCATGTGATTGAAAGAGCAATGATTTCAGGGTCAGGTGACACAGGGCTGGAATCCAGCTCGGCCACATCCACATGACAGAACCTTCTATAACTATGCAACTTCTCTGAGGCTTTGATTTTAAAAGATCTGCTTATTTACTTGAAAGGCAGAGTTTCAGAGAGAGAGGGAGAGAGATATCTTCCATCTTCTGGCTCATTCCCCAGAATGGCCACAGTGGCCAGGGTTGGGCCAGGCCAAAGCCAAGAGCCTGGAACTCCATCCAGGTCTCCAACGTGGGTGCAGGGAGTTCAGCAGCAGCCCCACCCCTAACCACAGGTGCCTTTCTGAGAAGTGGGAAAAAGCTGCTTGTGCTTCTGATGAATATCACTGCCATCTGCTGGAAGCTCCTAAGAATTACACCACCTACCATAACCATAGCTGACAGTGAAGGGCGCCACCTGGAGCCAGGCCGTGGTAACACAAGGACTCCCTGAGCTGGTCCACCCCACTGAAGAAGAGGATGCAAGGCAGGCCCTCCAATTCCAGGTAGGTCTGGGGTCTCCATGCTGCATCCTCGATGTTCTGCCACATCTGCAGATAGTTAGAAAGAGATGAGGTCCAGAGGCTCCTTCCTCCCCCCGGGCCCAGCTGCCCAGGACCCGCATGTTCTCTGAATGATTTAAAGCCCTCACCATGCAGCTCTCTGCACTGCAGACAAGCACACCGTCCACTTTGTTCCCCATTAGGTGTGAGCGTCCTATCCCTTTCTGTACTTTATTCATTAATTTTAGAGGCAGGGAGGCAGAGGAGGGGGTTAGGATGGGGGAAGATAAAGAGTGTGCTCCTCCACCCACCAGTTCACTCACCAAACACCTACAATGGTGGGGGCTGGACTGCAGGGACCTGGGCCCAGCCCCAGCAGTGGGGCAGTGTGTCCTTGTGAAAGGGGAAATGACATTGAGCTGGGTCCCACAGCAGAAGGAGAAATGCACCGCAGGATGCAGGAAAAGCTGGGACAACCCTAGGGGTGTGAGAAAGGTGACCCCAGGTCCAGGGAAGCAGCATGGAGAGCTGCACAGTGGAGAAGTGGCCCTGGGCCAGAGGAGTGGTGGGGTCCCAGGAGACCAGCAGGCATCCGTGGTGCCCACCATTAGCTGCTTTACGAAGTGCTTGCTCACCGTGGCGTCCATGCTGGGGGTGCCCCGGATGATCCAGAAGCACTCCTGCAGTGCCAGGCACGCACACACGTGGGCCAGGGACTCCTCCGCGCAGGGCACATTCATCAGCACCATGAGCCCGTGTCCACAGGGGCATTGTGCAGAAGCATGCAGCAGGTGCTGTGTGATCTCCAGCTTCTCCACTGACACATGATTCCTCCTCTGCCACAGGCCACTCCCAGCCATCAGCACAGCTGCCTAGTGCTACAGAACAAAGGTCTGGATTGCCACACTGTGCAGCTGGGGAATCAGACACACGGATGTGGTGTCCCTTTGTGCTTCCCAGCCCCTGGCACCCCGAAGCGGAATACTCAGCATGTGCAATGAGCAAACGGATGGAGGAAGGAAGGGCCTGTGCAGCTCTCAATGGCTTCCGGAAGGCTCCCCAAGGAGGCAGGTGAAGCTCCCAGGGCTCCCCCTAGCATCAGGAGAGCCTGCAGCTACCAACAGGCAGAGGCAGCCCCTGCCCCTCAGACCCAGGGCCCATCTTCCACAAACTGCTTTGTTTCCATTACAGGAGTCATGTTTAACAGATGAGTCTTAGAACACATGAAGTCAAGCTGACAGTTACCATGCATCCCCACAGAGCTGGTGGCTCCAGGAACAGCTCTGACCCACACATCAGGAACAGGCCCCAGGACCCGCTGGAAAAACCCAAGTCCCCCTGGGTCACTGTGTGCCTCCCAGGAGCATAGAAATATATATGCTCCGTTTTTTTTGAAAAGATTTATTAATTATTTGGAAGGCAGAATTACAAATAGAGGGAGAAGGAGACAGACAGACAGACAGACACACACACACACACACAGACACACACAGATCTTCTATCCACTGGTTTACTCCCCAAATGGCTGCAATGGCTAGGGCTGGGCCAGACCAAAGCCAGGAGCCAGGAGCCAGGAGATTCTTCCGGGTCTCCCACATGGGTGCAGGGGCCCAAGCACTTCTGCCATCTTCCACTGCCTTCCCAGGACATTATCATGGAGCTGGACCAAAAGTGGAGCAGCCAGGTCTGGAACCCGTGCCTATATGGGATGCTGGCATCACAGATGGCGGCTTAACTTGATATGCCACAGTGGCGGACCCAGACATCCAGTTTCCAAACAGTGCCCTTGTGAGTTCCTGTAGCTGGAGTGAGTGCCCCTGAACCTGCAAAGCTAGGAATCATGCAGTAGCCAGGCACTTGTATGTGCTCTTGGGGCAGCCAGCTGACACCTGGATGACACTTCTGCTCCCTCCTCTTCTTCATTCTTCCCTGAGCAGGGCAGCTGCTTTTTTTTGGGGGGGGGGGTTGTAAACTGGAAGCCTGGCCTAGTGGACTTGCCAGGACTTAGCACAGTTCCAGGAGGGCATAAGTGGTTCATGGGGTCTGGCACAAGGGGACTCAGTGGCCCAGGGACTTCTTACCCTGCCCCTGGTGCCCAGCCAGATGGCATGGAGGGAGGGAAGGACAGAGGGGGTGGGTTAACTCTCTTCTGCTCAAGGGCAAGCAGAGACTTCCACTTCTGGCCATGACAGAGTTGCAGGGATCAGGTTTATCCTCCCAGGGGGTGGAACAACGGTGTGGCAAGACCTTGGTTATCCGAGCCTCCAGCCCCTGCCTGCTCAGGAAGGGAGAACCAAGGCAAAGCCCAGGGGTCTCCCCGAGTTGAGCTGAGATGTCAGATTCCAGGGAAACCAAGGCAGCTGCGTGGCACAGCCAGAGTGCCAAGGAGGAGAGAGCTGCATAGACAAGGAGAGCTCCAGAGATCTGCAGCGCCCACCCCCTCGAGTCTTCAGCTGAGCTGTGGTCAGCACTGGTTAGGTGAGGAGGCTGCCCAAGGCAAGGAAAGGATGTGCTGCTGTGAGCCCCCGGGATTGGAGGCAGTCCCTCTTCCCTCCTGAGATGTGGAAGACCTCAGAGGCAGGGGACACTGCCTGCTGCTCTGCTCCTGCCTGGCAATGTTCAGCAGCAAGGATTGAACTGTTCCAAGCATCTTCACTGTATTCCAGGAAGAAAAACCAAAACTCACTATTTCTAAGAATACCAACATATGTAACACCCAATAAGGTAAACTTCACAATGACTAGCATCTCTCAAAAATGATCAGATAAGAAAAGCAACAGAAAAAACAAGCCTAAGGAAGAGAAGGCCAGCCAGTCAACAGAAACCAACCCAGAAATGCTACAGCTGAATCAGCAGACAGGAAACCTAACACAAGCACCCTGCCTGCGTTCTGTATTCAAATAACTAGAGGAAAAATGGAATGTGCTAAGTGGAGATGTCTTTAAAAAAACAAATTACAGAGGTGAAAGCTATTTCTAAATAGGACCCTGAGTTCTCCCCAGGAGCCATTGCCTCTGTCCATGGTCTCACCCTGCCAGCCACAATAAGCTGGCTCAGGAATGGGAACCTGACCCAACAAGGGCCAACAACATGTTTCCAGGATTATTCCCCCTGAAGAAGTCAAAGACTGTGAGGTCCACTGACAACCACAGGTAATGCTTTTCAGCCCCTGGGCGATGCCCACGGGTATAAGCTATGTATAGTAAAGCCACTCCAGAGACAGCCAAGGCAGGATGGCACTGTTGTGACAATGGTTGAACACCTAACACAACTACTCTCAGAACCATCAGTGGCTCTGCTTAGCCTTTTACTTCATGAGCCAATACATCCCTGTTCTTCCTAAAGAGTTCAAGCTTGGTGGTAGGGTGGGGGCAGCACTGCAGCATAGCGGGTTAAGCCTCCACCTGAAGGGCCGGCATCCCATATGGATGCCAGTTCCAGTCCCAACTGCTCCACTTCTGATCCAGCTCCCTGCTAATGCACCTGGGAAAGAAGCCGAAGATGGCCCAGGTGCTTGGGCCTCTGTACCTGCATGGGAGACCTGGAAGAAGCTCCTGGCTCCTGGCTTGAACCTGGTCCAGCCCTGGCTGTTTCAGTGATTTGGAGAGTGAAACATTGGATGGAAGCTCTCTCTCTGTAATTCTGCCTTTCAAATAAATAATTATTAATTTTTAAAAAATATTTAAACTTGAAAACAGCAGCAGAAACCAAACTGACTGAGGAAAAAAATGAAATGGAGGCAGGGACCCAGCTTCAAGCAGCCTGATCCTTGTGTGATTGTTTTCCTCTCTGATAGAGGTGGGTGGGAGACAGAAAGGCTGAACTTTTGAAGTAAGGCTGAATTTGCTCAGATGTGATGAAAACTCAAGCACAAGAAAGATGAAGAGAATTATGCCCAGCCATGCCGAGCTTGTATGGCTTTAAATGAGTGTGTGTTTTAAAAGCTTCCAAGCCACCAGCAGGGACAGGGGAGACAGCAGAGAGACACAGCAGGGATGATGTTTCTGGACTGAAATGACGCAAGACACAAGACAGCAAAATAGCACCTCTAACGTACTAACAGAAAAAGTCGGTCCAGCACTTATGAGGCCTTCCAGGGAAAATCGCTCTTGAGGATGAGGCAAAGACAGACTTTTTCAGACATACAAAAGCTGAACAAGTTCATCACTAGCTGACCTGCTCTATAAGAAATGTTAAATGAAGGCCTTAATACAAGGAGGAGACTGAGCTGTGGTGTAGCGTCAAGTCTCTGCCGGGGACACTGACATCCAGTGACACCAGAAGATAGCCCAGGTGTTTGGGCCCCTGCTACCGAAGTGGAAGACCTGGAAGAAGCTCCTTGCAGCCATCTGGAGATTTAACCAGTGATGTAAGTCCTCTCTGACTTTCAAATAAATTAAATCATTTTTTACAAATGTGCAAAACGGAATTAAAAGACCAGGTTTTTTGGTGCAAAAAAAAAATGAAATCCACTCACACTTTCTTCCCACTACCTATTCTTTTTAAACTTTTCAAAGTCTCCTCAAATGCATGGACTCTAGAGTTTACTTTGGTACAAAAAGATTTTATCTTTTAATTCCATTTTCCACAAAATTTTGAACACTCTCATAAGCTGCTGAAAGAATCTTAAACATGACCTGAGAGCACAGTGTGGTTAGATGTAAACCATACATGTAAGGCAGCCATGAGAGAGTGCAGCAGTTTGTATCAGATAGTATAAATAATCTAGAGATGATTTAAAGTATACTTGAGAATGTGCATAGGTTCTATGCAAATACTGTACAATTTTCCATAAGGACTTGAGCATCCATGGATTTTGATAATTGCTGGGGTTCTGGAAACAACCCCTCATGGACATGGTTGGATGACTGTATTTATCTTACAAAAATAGTATCATATTATCTCCCAAATTTTGTGTCTATGAGTGTGCATGTCTAAATAATATCATGGTGTTCTTTGCACATTTTTTAAGAAAACTTTTATTTAATAAATATAAATTTTGAGGGGAGGTTCCAAGATGGCGCACTAGGGAGGGAGCTTACTGATCT